TCCTGGCTCCAGGTGGGACCCCCTCCCCTCCTTATGCGGGGTGGGGGCACCGGGCTGGGACAGGGACCCTCCCTCGGGCTCAGCTCCAGCTCCCGGCCTCACTTGCTGGTTTACACGGGCAGCAGGGGGGCCGAGCCCAGAGGTGGGGGCTGTGGACACCCAGACTCTCCAGAAACCGAGGCCTGGGCAGCGGCCGGCGGGACAAGGGGCTCAGGGCTCACACTAGGAAGGGCCAGGCCCCAAGGACAAGCTGGTCGGCCGAGAAGAGGGGGTGAAAGGCCCTTCCGTGGGCCACAGAGCACAAGGGCCCATCCCGCAGGCTCCCGCTGGCCGCACCTCAGAGGTATAGTCAGGACCGAGGACAAGCGGCCAGGATGCTCCCAGGGCAGAGGCACTGGACGCTCCACTGAGTGGCTGCCACGTCCCCTGGAGCCCTGGGGCGCGACCTCACCTGCCCACAGGCCTCTGGGACTGCAGCCCCCTGCTTGTTCCCACCTGTCAGGGGCCCCTGCGCCAGAGCCTGCCCCCCGCATCCTGGAAGCCCCCCCAGACCAGCAGCCCCAGACGCACTGGGCCCCCAGAGACTGGGCTGGGGGCTGCACACGAGTGTGAGTGTCGCCGGAGGACGCCCCGGCCTGAGGTTAGACTGTTCGACGTGCACTGTCACGGGGTGGGGCCGAGGCCTCTGGCGTGACCATGTCCTCGGATGGGACGGACCCTCCCCTCAGTGGCTGGAGGGTGAGGAGCAATGCCAGGTGGGCCGGCCCCTCCCAGACCTGGTCCCCAACCATCCGGCAGCCTGAGGACGTCAGGGGGGCCACAGCGGCAGGTGGCCCCATGGCCCGAGGGAGCTCGTGACACCCAGGCTCGTGACACCGGAGCGGGTCACGTGCTGCCTCCAGCCACTCCGACCCACAGTGGGCACTGTGGCTGGCAGCTCCGAGCACCGGGCACTGGCTCCGGCCAGGGGCTCTTCCTCGCTCTATGGAGCACGAGGCTGATGCCTGCTCACCAGGGGCCCTGGCCTTCAAGTGTCACCTGGGCATTCAGCCTGCAGGACGGGCTACAGGGAACAGAGCAAGAAAGAACCAGCAGAGGCAGGACAGGGGAGGTGGGGCCACGGCGGGGTCAGGGGGCGAGCCCAGCCACCCCTGGGGTACAGCCGCTGGCCGCAGCACCGCCAGGGGAGGCAAAGGCGACACAGAGAATCAACCAGGCGCCGGACAAACAAGCAGCAGGCCGGGCAGGGAGCGAGCTCAGGAGGCGCACACGCTGACCCCGGGCGGGCGGGGGCTGCTCAGGGAATTTCCAAAACTTGGAACTAAAGCAAACTGTTGATGGCTCATCGCTTGGCATTGCAGGCAGCACGGTGTGACCCACCGCCCCCGGGACCACCGGCCACCACGGCCGCGAGGACCGCCATGGTTCGCCTTCCCGGGCTCTGTCCAGCTCCGAGCAGACACACCCGTCTCGTCCAGGAGACAACATAATTTCTCTGCGCAGAACGGACGGCCCCGAAGACCGTGAGTCCCGCAGCAGGACGGCAGCCAGCAGCCGGGCTCCGGTCGAGCCTGGCCGGGGATGTCCGCCCCCCGCCTCCGCCGGCCCCTCCACCTTGAGTGCGGTACACGCCCGACACGCTCGTGGTCCGTTTGTGCGGGGTCTTGTTTGTAACTTCTCAAACTGAACTCGACAGGTGCCCAGGGGGACTCACTTGCAGAAGGAACTCGGGCTCGAGCTCACCCCGCGAGCCTCCACCCCCCTAAGCAGGCCGAGGGGGCGGACCCAGGCGGCGGCGGCCCTCTGCCTCGGCCACCGTCTCGTTACGTTGACGTTGTTTATTTTCCTCCCAGGGACTGCCTTTGTCTCTGGCCGTCGGCCAAGCCTGTCCGTCCATCTGCATCCTGTCTAACTCATGGTCTGGGCCACGTCCCTTTCTCACGGCGAGGACCAGGTTGGGGCAGTCGCCAGGACCGTCGGGCTGGGCTCGGCCATGCTGTCCAGAGCACCCGAGACCCGAGAGCCAGTGAGTGAGGGTGGCGATGGCTGTGACCGCGGGAGGCTCTGTAGGGTGGACAGAGTGATCAGCTGTTTCTTCCTCCATCAAAGGAAACAGCTCGAGTCCCCTGCGAAGGAAACCAACACTCGGAGACACGGGGCGGTGAGCCCCCTGCCCCCCGTGTTTACTTCCCGCCTGTGGCCGGAGCATCTGGACAGGGAGCAGCCCTTCCTCACACGGAGGTGGGATGTTTCCTGCCTCTCAGAGTCTCTCAGGGACCTGTGCCCTCAGGAGCCAAGACGCAGTCAGCAACTGTACAAATCAAACGCGTTTCGAATTCCCAGAACGGAAAGACACGGAACCTCTAATATTTGTAATGACCTGGCATTTAAGGGGGGCGCGGGGGGCGGGGCCTTCTCAGAGAAACCACTCGCTCCCGAGGAGCACGGCCACGCAATGCCCCAAATTCGTGCAGTCGGGGGAGCCCCGGAGAAGTCAGGATGCTTTGGTCCCTTGGGTTAGGAAAAAAAAAAACAACTAGTGTCTTTCCCCTGATTTATAAATCCAGGACAGGTTTTATTTTGAGAGCTGGATGTGTTTTCTCGTGAGGAGTAGGATTTCCCTGAATTTCCCAAACTACCCTGTTTCCCCGATCAGAGATGCTAGCGTTACTTTTCCATTATGCTCCAGATTATGAAAAAACATTAAATTACAGAGTCGACCCCACCGAACGATTCTGACACACCAATGTCAAAATTAATTGTGTTAGACTTCCGCTGGGGCGTTGCTTTAAAACCCGTCGGGTAGTTATAACATCTGTCACCTAAAAACGCGAAACGCACCAAAAAAAAAACACACATAAGAACACGCAGCACAAAAACGACAAACACCCCACAAACCAGGAGCAGGGAGCACTGTCCCAGCCGACGGAGGACAGGTGACAAACCCGCACGCGACGGCGGGTGGCTGGGCACTTGCCCCCCAAGGCTGGGGACAAGGCAGCGGGGTCACGCCGAGCCGGGGGTGCGGGCGAGAGCGACTGCACGAGTGAGTGAAATAAAAGACTCGCAGATGGAAAAATATAAAGGAACGGTGTCTCTGCTCGTAGATGCTCCGCACTCGCGTACAGAGACGCTAAGGAATCCACCAAATGCCGTTCGAACTGACGAACTAATCCAGCAAGTCTGCGGGATCTAAGGTCAGTATACGAAAGTCGAACGTATTTCTATACGAAAACACGTGTAAATGGGTTACGATGAACAACCTGGAAGTTTGTGAACGATCCTACTTGCCACGACGTCGAAAAAACATAAAATACTTTGGAACGAATTTCACAAAAGTAGTGAAAGATTCGTACTTGGAAAACACAAAACTGTGTTGAAAGAAACGAAATAATCTAAATAAACGGAAAGACGCCCGTGTTCGTGAGTTACGAGAGCTCCTATCGTTAAGATGGGAATACTCCCCAAATTTATCTACAGATTCAATGCAGCCTTAATCAAAGCCCCAGCTGACATCTTTGCAGAAACCGAGAAGCCAATCCTGAGATCACGTGGAAGAGCCAGGGACCCCGGACAGACAATGACGTCGGTGCCCTCGGACCTCCCGATTCCGTGAAACACCGCCAAGCTACGGCAACCGAGCCCAGGGACCCGCTGTGCGGACGGACACAGATCTGTGGGAGAGAAGTGACCGTCGCGTGATCACCCCGAGGGTCTGCGGCCGACGAGGGCGCTCAGACCTCTCGACGGGAGGAGGACGGTCCTTTCAAAACATGGCGCTGGGCTAACTGGGGCGCACGTGTCAAAGACGGAAGCGGGACCCCTGCCTCGCGCCAGACACGAAACTTCAAAAAGGTGAGCGGGACTTCGTGGAGATGAGAAACGCGCGTGCTTCCGACGGCACCGTCAGGCTGGAGGGACGCGGGTGGGCAGGGACGCGTGCACGCCACGCAGACCGAGACCGCATCTAGACCCACGAAGAACTCCGGCAGCTCAACCACGAGAAGACAAAAACCAAACGTTCTTTTATACGGGCAAAGCCTCTGAAGGAGCGACGTCCAAAGGAGAGACACGCACGTGACACACACGTGGGAAGGCACAGCACGGCACCCGCCGCCAGGAAAAGCAGAGCGGAACCACGCGGGACAGCAGCTCGCACTTGCCGGAGCAGGGGGAGAGAGAGACGGGTCGGAACGTCGGGGCGGATACGGAACGGAACGGCGCGGCCGGCGGGCCCTCGACGGGGGGACGGGGGAACGGGGGAACGGAGAGCCGGCGCGCGGCCGCGGGTCCGTCCGGGCGTGGGCCCCAGAGAAACGAAGACACGGCCCCCGGCACCCGGAGGGGCGTCCGCGGCGGCAGCGCCCACGGCCGCCACGAGGCAGAGGCGCCTCCGCGTCACCACAGGAGGACGGAGACGAAATCGGTCCCCCCTTCACAGGAGGGCGACGCGCCGGTTCGCACCGCGGCGTGGACGACCCTCGACCCTCGACAACACGAGGCTACGCGGGACACGCCCGACGCGAAAGGCCACGCGTCACGTGGCTTCCTTCACGCGACGCGCCCAGCACGGCCCATCCCAGAGGCGAAGCGGACCAGTGGCCGCCTGGCGCTGGGGCAGCGGCGCTCGCGAAGCGTGGAAGGGACGGGAGTGACCGCTAGGGGCCGTGGGGGTTCTCTCTGGAACCGTGAAATGTCCTAACACCGGGGCGGATGGCTGCACGGCGCCGAGTGGACCACACGCTACGGACGACACGGACAGCGCCCCAAGCTGTCATTTCAAAAAGAAAAACCTACAGATGCAGCCAAAGAACATTTTTAAAGCCGTTCACTAGAAGGCGAGAAGAGAAACAAACATAAACAGGACAGAATGATAAACGAAACCGCGAACCGTAGCCCCGAACACGCGGCCGGGGCTGGACCGCGCCAGCGGCTCCTCCACGGCCGAGCAACGCTCCGCCCGGGACAGACCACGCCTGCGAATCCGTTTGCTCTGTACTCACTAGTCACGGCCGCACGAGACTCCCCCGTCATCTCGAAACCCAAAGCTCTAAAAACCAGTCGCTCTGTGTGTCGCCGTAAAACAGCCAAAACCCCGGTCCCCTTCAAGACCCTGTGCTCGCGCTCAGCTCACTGAACGGACCCCGCGTAGACAGCCGCTGACGTGTCAGCGGGGGCTCGAAACTGATCGGTGAGCGGATTTGAAACCCCGAACTCCTGCTTCTTATTGGCACCCGTCACGGGTTGCACGACCACGATGGGAGGCGGGTGCGTGCGTGTGCACGCGTGTGCCCGTGCTGGGGGCCCTGCCAGGTGCGGCCCGGTGCGCTGACGCCGGTGTGAGCCCCCCCCTCCTTGTCGCCTGCAGCCCTCCTTGTCGGAGAGGAGTTGGTCGCAGAAGTTCAAGGGCATGATTCGTATAGGGAGGACGCCGTGAGGGCTGCGGTGGCCGAGAGGTGTGACCGCTGAATGGAGCCGCGTGCACGCGGGTCTGGGTCGCGAAGTGCTGTAAATGTACTGCCTCCTCCTGGTGATTTTAATAACGTCTGTTCTCCAGCTTACTTCACCGTGAGATCGCGCTGCACAGTACTCAGGACATACGACATACGGACCGGCGGCTACGTCATGTCACGTCACACGCGAGACTCCCAGGCGGCAGCAGGCCATGAGTCGTTCAGTCTGGGGGAGCCAACGTCAGGCTCGGATTTTTAACGGCACGGGGTCGGCGTCCCTGACCCCGCGTTGTTCGAGGGCCGACTAGGTGCCAAAGGGGGCGTGTCCGGGGCGTGTCCACGATCGCGGGGCAGAGAGGCACTTTGTCCTAAAGCGAAGAGTCGGGCGGTTCCAGTGTGTGAAACAGGCCAGGAGGGAGGCTCGGGCGGCTGCTCCGAGAGCTGGGGGGCGGCCACCCCCGTGAACACCGGGTCCGAGACGAAGCCACGAGGCGGTGCACGTTAGGCCGGGCGTGCTCGGTTTGTGTGGACGGGTTTATTTGCAAGACGGTCCTTCCAAGGTCAGGTGACGCGTCTTTTGGGGCCAGCATTACCCCCGGAAGCTGAGCCCGCCGCCTGCCCTGGGGGCCACCGGCGCTGGTTCCCTCGGCCCCCGCGGCCGGCCCCACGTGTCCCCAGAGTGGGGCACATCCTCGAACCTTCGCTTTTCTTAATTTAAAGTTCTTCACACCCGAAGCAGCTTAGCTTCCTTACAAAGCTGGGCCCGATTTCTGAGGTGGCTTAAAATACTCTGCTGTCCCCCTGATGGACGGGCAGCCAGGCTCAAACCACTCACTGGTCTTTAGCGAGTGTCCACCTCCGATGACACTGTTTTCGCCCTTTCCAAATCAGACCCCGCCACACAGAAGGTGGGGCCCGGTGCCCGGAGCGTCCTGGAGGCCAGCGTCCACGTGAGGAGGCACCTGGTGCGGCTTCGGCTCGGGGCCCTGGGGTCATCGGACCCCTCCTGTGGGTCTCCTCTCCGAGGTGAGAAGCACCCACTAGCAGATGTCCAGTGCAGAGCCAGCCTTCCGAGGTTAAACGCGGACCAAGTGTGACTCCCCCAGGCCCCTGTCTACACCGTCCACTCATGTTTACTCTGAGGACACAGCAGCCGCGTCGTCACGTGGAGGCTCTGTGGGCCGCCTGTGCAGGAGCCGACCTCCCCCAGGCTGGCGCTGTCCATCCCATGTGAAACGACCAGTTCCGTCTGGTCGCCGACAGGTGGCTTCTGCTCCCTGGAGGCCAGAAGCGGGGCTGTCCACACAGAGGGCCACTGGACACTTGCCCATTCATGTCTCCCGGGGAGGCGCCCTGCCCAGGCTCAGCCTTTGGACAGCTGTCACCCCACAGGGATGGGGACAGGTGTCCAGACACCTTCAGGCCCCTGAGGTCACGGGCCACTGACCGCGGTCCACACTGACCGCGATGAGGGAGAGCCGGCGAGTGACACCTAACCGTGGGTGTCTGATCAGGGACACTGGGGAGAAGGCTCCCTCTTCCTTCTCCACACGGCCCTGGCCCCCCGCGTGGGCTGGCCTCGGCAAACACGGGGACGTTTGCACACGGCGCCTCCTCCCTGGCTCTGGATCAGTCCCGGCCCTTCGCACAATGTGGCCGTGGCAGCGGTCCCCTGGGCACGGGGCCCTTCTACGCTCAGACCCAGCCGGACAAGATGACCGTACCGTGCGCTGAGAACCCGGAGCCCCATGGGAGGAGCCCAAGGACATGACGGGGGGGGGGCGTCACCCCCGGAGCCTTGGAGCTGCGGCCACACCCCGGGGCCCCTCCTGCTGGGCCACGATCCGGTCACAGAGGGCACTGCTAAGACCGATGACCACAGAGAACGTGGTGACCTGGTGACCGCGTCTTTCCTGTGTGGCTGGAGGGACTGCCTTGCAGGCCCTGAGGGATGATGTCACACCTCTGTTTGATCTGCTATCTGATATCGATTACATCCCAGACTCTGTGACCTGTTTACTTTTAGATCTGTGCCTTAAAGAGATGCAAACGGTTCCTGGGCAGTAGCAACCGGGACCCCAAAGGGTATGGTTTCCTCGCCCCGGGGACATTAAGCAATTCTGTAACTAACTGAACAGTCTGAATCCAAAATTCTTCCTTCAATGACTAGAAACACTCAGTTCCTCAAACGCTCTTCGACCCAGCTTTCCTGCCCAAACCATGGGCTCTCGCTCAGCCTTAAGAGGAAGGAAGTCCTGACACCGGCCACGGCGCGGATGGACCTGGAGGACACGGTGCTCAGTGAGGCGAGGCAGTCACAGAAGGACACGTCCCGTGGGACCCCACTCACGAGAGGTCCCCAGAGGGGTCAGATCCACAGAGACAGGAAGTAGGCGGTGGAGCCG